TCAAGATTTTGTGCTCGTTTTGAGAAGTACATTCACACATGACCCAAGACTGCCTGTCACTAATCTTCCAACTTGGTTTATTCCAAGATTCTGACCTGCTGGCCAATCAGTTCATTAGCCAGTGTAGATCATTATGATCACTTAGTGTCTCATTATTAGGCATTCGATCTCTACCAGACTCTAGTAGTAAGCCAGAAGTTGATTCTCCACAGGAGAATAGTTGTTTTTAGAAGATTTGCCTTTTCTCCAATTCCATAGATAGTTGCATGGTGGCTCTTGAAAAAGAATTCAGTTGGAGAATCTGATTTTGAAGCTCACTATAAAATTGCACTAATCAAGACTGTGCTATTGATGTAAAAGCCCACAAATAGATCAGTGAAACAAAAGAGAGTCCAGAAATAGATCTGAACTTTCTGTACTTTGCATCTTTGTCAAGAATTCGTTGTCAGTACAACACTATCCCTCTGACAATACAACACTATTTTGATTATTGTATTGATTAATGCTAGGTTTCCAACTCTGTTATTTTAAAAAATGTTTGGATATTCTATATCTTGACCTTTTCTATAAAATTTTATATAAATTATGTCAATTTCCTCAGAAAGACGACTTGAATTTGGAGATTAAGTTTAATCCATAGATTAAAAGCAGATTTATAAATAATATTGAGTCTTTAAATCTATGAACATTATATATCTATCCATTAATGTGAGTCATCTTTAATATCTCTAAATACTATTTTTCAGTTTTCATTATAAAAATATTCTACTTATTCAATTTATTCAAATGTATTTAATTTTTGATGTTATCATAAATTGTATATTTTAAAGGGGATGGGTTTTCTTCTATTCAGATTTTGAAAGTTTTATTGTAAGAGTTGAATCTTGTCAAAGGATTATTTTCTACTTCTGCTGAGATGATCATACATATAATTTTTTCCTTTCTGTTAATGTCATAAATGCTTTCTTCTCTCTTTTTTACTTTTCCTTCTATTTTAATTTCAGTTTAAATAATTTTTTTTGGTCTCTCTTTAAGGTCACTGCTCCTTTCTCAGTTGTGTCCTGTCTGTTAAGCCCTCAAATTATCTCTTTATATCTAATATCATATTTTTCATATCTAGCATTTTCATTTCATTCTTTTTTGTAGAATAATACCTATCTGAAGAAATTTTCCATCTGCTCATGCAAGTTGTCGCTTTTCTAAATCTGTTATTGTATTTACTATAGTTTTATTAAAACGTTTATAAGTGGTGAACTAAACATTTAGGCCATCTCTGGATTTGCTTCTATTGATTCTTTCCTCTCTTAGTAATGTGTCATATTTTATTACTTTTTATTGTCATATACACTTTGCTTGTATGTCAGACATTGACATGACAATGAAGAGTAAATACTAATGCTAATCCTACTTATAAAAGTATATGTCTTTCTTTTGTCAGGTTGCTAATATGGGGAACTGTGTCAATGTAACTTGTATTTGAGTTGCATTTGGGCAGTGTAAGCTTTAGTTGGATTCAGTTTCACCATTTACTTCAAAGTCTTTCAGTGTGGAATTAGGACTTCCCCTTAAAAGGGTCAAAGACTCAAGGACCAGCAAGTTGCAAAAGATGTCTTCAATCCACTTGCCATCTTCCTGAACTTTGAACTCTCTTTCTCTCTGCTTTACAGTTCAATTGCCAGCTTTCTGGTTCACCAAGGAATTCTTTTTGCTCTCCTATCATACTTTAGCTCTTTTGTGTCTTAGACAATCTTTCTCCATTCTCTTTTCCAGCCCTCAGCCATTAGAAGACCAGTGTAGTGTGACTGATGAGGGTGTCTCTAGGAAGATTTATCACACTTTATCTGTCTTTCCCTGAATCTTCAGCAGTCATTTGGGGAAGGGCCTGCATGCCTCAAAATCTCTCTCACCTTTTGTGCTTTGTCTGTATCCTTTGGTATACTATTCCCATGTAATAATTGAGTTTCCATGATAAAGAATTGGTGGTGCATACAGATTTTCTCTGTGGCAGGGGCTCTTCCCCCAGACCACATATGACTCTTAACAATTTAGCTTATTGTGCACTACTCCTATTCATGGTAGATTCTCTTTTCTCTCATAATTTTACAAGAGGTGAAATCAGCTGTAGGTTTCTTCTCATCTAGGAAGGTGTCCTCACTTTCTGGAATTTGGTTTATTAGGTTTCTTTGTGTTCTTAGCTCTCTCATGGCTTTTTAAAAAGCTATAATTCTGTAGCTTACCAACATTCTTATTTGTGTAGAAGTAACAGTTTTTTATTACTTAAACTTTGAAACAATTTCAAATTTTTATGAACATTGTAAGAATAGTAAAAGAGCTCCAATAGGCTCAGAGACTCTATTTAAGTCACACTTCCAGCACAGCCTGCAAAACCATGAGCCAGTTAAACCCCTTTTCTTTATAAATTACCCAGCCTTAGGTATTTCTTTATAGTGATGTCAAAATAGACTAACACACCCTGGAATCAATTATTTGTTGGAAGAACCTGGTTGTGTTGAGAATGGAGTGGTATTTAGAGACCAAGATCTGGCTGCTAGCTATTGCTCCTGGTTGCTGCCAGTGGACAGAACTCAGAATATCTATGTATCTAACTATTCACACAAATGTATTTAATACTTAATTTTCTATCTACCTGTATCTATTGAAATCCATGACTTTATATGAATTGCTCCAATTTCAACTCAATATCATAGAATGTGTTCTAACTTCATTTCTATATTTGTAGTTTCTTTCTCACATTGTAAGACACCTGGCTGTCATTATCCTTAAAAATATTTGCTTATTTGCCTAGTCCTCATGCATGTAAACAAATGCTGGTTTAGACCCTTACTGTTGTGGTCTCTGGTCAATAACTGATTGCCTATTAATCAATTTTCCTCCTCAAACCCTTACTGTTTTGGTCTCTGGTCAATAACTGATTGCTTACTGATCAATTTTCCTCCTCTTCTGTTTTTTCGTCCTTGTCAGTTTGGTGTACTGGCTACAGTGCTGCTCCGCTGACCTTACTGAACTAAATGCATTGTATCAATTGTATTATATTATCCTTCCACCAAAAATACCCAACAGTTTTGCTTGCTCCTTATTATCATCAACATTTGATATTGTCAGTCATTTTAATTTCAACTATTCAAATGTGCAGAGGTGCCTTATTGTGGCTTTAATTTGTATTTCCTGGTGACAAATGATGATCATGTTTATATGTCTTATTTGCCATTCAGATATCTTCTTTTGTGAAGTGTCGACTCAAGCAATTTTGTCAATTTTTCTGTCTTTATAAAATTATAAGAATTCCTTATGGATATTCTGGATGGAAGTTCTAAGTTTATACAGTCATCATTTGGTATCCATAAGGGATTTGTTCCAGGATCTCTGCGAATACCAAAATCTGTGGTTGCTCAAGTTCCTTATATAAAATGTAGTATTTGCATAAAACCTGTGCACACCCTCCCATATGCTTTAAATCATTTTTAAATTACTCATAATACCTAGTACAACATAAATGTATATAAATGATTATTATGTTCCATTTTATAATTTTTATTATTTTTATTGTATTGTTATTTTTTCCCAAATATCTTCACTTCAAAGTTGGTTATGGTTTTAATATGCATTTTCCTGATTATTAACGAGGTTCTACACCTTATCTTATGTTTACTGCTATTTGGTTATTTTCTATACTTAACTATTCAGGTGTCTTACTTATTTTTTCTACTGGTTTAGCTCTCTTGAAAATAATTTGTATAATTAAACATTTTAAAAAATAAATATTCAGGATATGCACTCTTTATCTTTTGAATATTTGTGAATATCTTCTCCAACTCTGTGACTTGTCCTTCCACTCTTTTAGTCATTTAACACTGCTTTCATTTATTCTATTCTTTTCAATCTCATTTGCTTTTTAATGAATAGATTAAACAATTGCAAGAGCCATCTAACCTGTAGGTTTTCTCTCCTTTGGTACATTATTTTATATTCTTGTATTATAAAACATAAATCTCACCATGGAATTACATCATTTATATTTTGCATGTATGCACACCATTTTCTAGAGGATAAATCTAACATTTTATTCATTGATGTATCTGAGGTCCTTCATGAAACAAACTTTGCATAGCTACTGAGTGTATGAAAACAAATATATACCCCGCAATCCAGCATGCAAATGTGTACCTCCATATCTTAGCAGTGTCTTTTTTCCCCCTCTATCTGGATTCCTAGAAAAACAGCTTGTGCCTAAACTTATTACTAACACTCTACTGGTGAGGGGTGGGATGGTGGTGTAATAATCAGCAGCAAAAGTGAGGGGGAAAATTAGTATATGAAACAAGAAAGAAGAAGCATTTATCTGCTCTCTTCCTCCTATTTCTTGTATCGGATTCATCCAACTTTATCTCATAGGCATTTAACACCCCTTTACAAATGAGTTATTTTAACCAGGCACTCTGGGAAACTACTGGGGAATCTAGGTCTCACTTTCCTTTGAATGAGGGAGTGGTGGGTAGAACCAGAAGTTCCATGGATCCAATTAGGTCAGACCATGCCCATAACATGTTTTGCTGAAACTGGCCCTTCCCCAACAAAAGAAGGCAAATCATCGTTTGCATCAGGAAATGAGGCAACTTTGGCAGCAGCAGCCAGGGCTTTCCGCCAAGCAAGTAGCATAGGTCAAGGGGCAGGTGGGGCCAAGTGAGTGTGGGAATGAGCATAGCTTGGTTTCTGGACATTTTTTATGCTCTTATCTACCACAGTTCCTTTCAGAACAGTTAACCTGATAAAGGCAGTAAGCCAAGTCAACACACACAAAGGAAAGGGGAGAAGAGATCATTTCAGTGGACCTGACACCTAAGGTTTGATGAGCTCATTTGGTTGCACATCAAATGAAATTCTCTCAAAAGACAACATTTGAAAATTATTTATTTCTTTTCTTTCCCTGTGTTACCATGGTTCTTGCTTCCTGATACCGTAATTATGATTTTGTTTTCCAGGCGTGATGGAGCCTGCATTTTCCTCTTTATCTGGATACTTTGTGGCCATTCTTCTCTTACAGATAACAGTACTCACCTCAGGTAGGGATTTCTATTTCTTTTTCATGGTGCAAATTACACTGAAAAAAATGAGCAATCTGTTATTTCACAGATTTTACCCTTATATTCCAGTTTCGATGGTAGAAATGAGTATTAAAACAGCTTAAGATTAAGAAATGTTATTTCAATTGTTATGCTACAGAGTTGCAATGATGTGCCTATGAGACAACACAGATAAATGTTTAACATGTCTCCTTAGGAAGCTTAAATTCTCACTGGCAAATCATAATAAATATGTCTTATATTTAAGAACACACCACAATCATTTATGTAACCATATGAATTATAAGTTATAAGATTAGCAGGACTTCACATAAAGAAGTTACTGTGAGTGGGAGCTGTCCACAAATTTTTCTTAGAGCAGAGGACTACTAGGTTTTATAATTCAGATTACTTATGATGAGAGGGGTAAACATTCTTAGCAGAGACAGAAGTGAATTTGACATAGTATAGAGAAGCAAAAGCTAAAGGTATGGAAGGACCCATGTGATAGTTATCTACAGTTTTGGAACAAATTAGCCTAAACATTAATGACGTAAAATAACAATCAGTTTATTCTATCCACAATTTTGTGGGTCAGAAACTTCGGCCAGGGCTCACCCGGGTGGTTCTTCTGCTCCATGTGACATAGACTGAGGTCACTTGGCGTATCTGCTGGTGGAGGAAATGATCTGAAGGGCTCAAGGTGGCTTCACTTAGGTGTCTGGCGTTTTGGTGGAGTAGGCTGGAAGGTTGGGATTAGCTGAGATTGTCAACTGACATATCCACATGTGGATTTTCTACTATTGTGGTCACAAGGTAGTCAGACTTCGTATAAGGCAGCTCAGGGCTTCAAGAAATATTGTTACAACAGGAAAGAATGGCTGCCGCTCTTTTATTAAAACAGGCCCAGAAACTACTGCAGAATGTCTTCTGCTGCATTCTACTGAACAAAGAAATCACAGAACACACTAATTCAGGAGGAACAGTCATACTTTTTGCTTCATGGAAGGGACATAAAAATTGTTGTGGCCACTTTTAGCCCACTAAAAACTGATATTAGAAAAAGTAGCTGGTATATTTTTTAAGTAAAGATTGTAAAGTAATCAGGTTCCACATCCCACCTCTTGACAATTGGAGCATCCTCCATTCATTCTTTAAATATTTATGAAGTGCCTATTATGTTCAGGTAATGCTTTATGCACTGATGATATAAAAAAGAATGAAAAAAGAGACTCTTTTGTTTCATTACCTACATATTAATAGGTCATGAGAGAAAATGAAGAAAAGAATTAGAAATAAAATATCAGATAGTGATATGTGCTAGGGAAATGTGATTTTGGGAAATGTTGAATGAGCGATCATAAAACATTTCTTTAAGGAGTAGTTTTTTAAGATGGAACCTGAGTGATGAGAAGGAGGCAGCTATGAGCGTCTGGGGGGAAAACACTACCATCAGAGTAAAGATATATCTGAGAGCAAAGTTCTGAAGTCAGAACAACATCAAGAATCAGAAGAAAGTTTAGAGCATCCCAAACAGAGGATCTAGGAGAGCATTCTATTGTAGTCTTCAGACTAAATCTTTGGTCTTCAACTCCCCACAGCGCAGTTCACTGTGAGTAGCTCTAGGAGTCACCACGTGGTCATGGTCGGCAGCCAGGCTGAGCTCAGCTGCCGGCTGTCCCCACCACAGAATGCACAACTCATGCAGGTGGGCTGGTTTCGGGATCGCCATTCCCAAATGATTTACCTGTATGAAGATGGGGAAGAACACTCTGGAGAAGGCATTCAGAATTACATGAATCGCACAGTGTTCCTGAAGGATGCACTAGAAGAAGGCAAAATTACCCTCCAGATTTACAACGTCACTGTTTTTGATGGTGGGCAGTATCACTGCTTCTTTAAAGATGGCCACACCTATGAAGAAGGCATTGTGGATCTGAGGGTGGCAGGTAAGGACAGGAGAGTCATCTTCAGATTTCCTTGGCAATTCCATGACCCCAAATTCATGAATATTTTTTAAAATTTACAACTTTCAAATATAATAAAATAATAATAGAATTTTTTGAAAAAATACAGGGAGTAATATAGTGGCACAGATAACTCTTAGCAATTTGTCATAGTTTCTTTAGATTAAGTTAAAGTCACCTTTGTGTCCCGCAATAGTGCTATTTACTTTTCTACTTTCCAAGAAGTAGCCATTATACTTCTTATGGTTCTTCTTTTTTTCCTTCAAATTTTAAGAACATCAGCTGCCAGCTATCTTCATCACAGAGTGCACAACATATGGAGGTGGACTGGTTTTGGGATCACCACTCCCAACTGGTTTACAAAGACTGGGATTGTTCTTAAACACTTGACTTTCTTAAAATTCTTTTTTCAAATTTAGTTCTTAACCCATATGGATTTTACTCTTGTGTATTTATGAGGGAATCATGTTATTATTGACAAAGCTAGTCTCGCCAAAGATGGAGTCTTTCCTTGTTTAGTGTCATAAAGCCAGTACATAAAACTGAAAGTCAGTTTCAAGCAGTGTAAACTTATTCGATAGTCACGGAATTGAGAAGTGGGAGCATGGCTCACAAATCAGTTTCTTGATTAGTGATGGGTGACGAGATTAAAATATAGGTTTTTTTCTAATAAAGAAGTTGGACATTAAAACTAACGGGAGGAATATTAATGTATTTTCTGGAACTGGGGAGTGAGCCTCTGGTAACCAGAGTGCTGCCTTCCCTTTTGTCCTTATATGGCTTCTTCCAGTTGATGATTGTCAACTGTCATGGTTCTGGTGGGGGTGTCATTTTGCATGGAAATGAGAATATAATGAAGTCTGCTGTCGTTTTGAAGCTGTTTTGTCTGCCATCTTGGTTCTAACCAGTCTCAGCTGGTCTGGTTACAATGGAACTTTTTATTGCAGGTGCCATGTTTCTTGAATATAAGTAGAGTTAGGGCAGGGTAGAAATTCAGCTGTGTCACATAGGGATTATACTGGGTAATGATGTGTCTCCCTATTAAATTATATATTTATTGAATATTCCCAATAATTGTCAGGCATTTCTCTAATCGATCAAGTCCTTATCTGTGCATGGGTATTTTCATGAGTTTTTAATTTAATTTTCTATTGAATCATCATGATATAACTTCTGGACCTATGACCGTACTGCTTTGTTTAAATGACTACAAGTTATGTGCCTTAATATACAATAGGGTATGTCTTACAACTTCACCATTCATCTTCAAAAGTGCCTTGGCCCTTTACTATATAAATTGTAATTATAAAATTATATTCTGTTAGGAATTATGATTGAAATAAAATTGAATTTATAGACTAATTTTAAGAGATTTGCTATGTATTTTTATTGAAATGTCCTGTCAGTGAACACTTACTTAAGGTTTTCAATTTTACTTCAATTTTATTTCAGTTAAATTTCATATGTTTACCCATAAAAGTCTTGCACATCTTTTGTCAAATTTCAATAGTTAGTTTGTAAAATTATGAATGAGATGTTATTGTTAAAAGTTTTAATGATTATGGTTTTGATATAGGAGTGTAATTGTTTTTTTATTTTTTGTTTTCTTTACATAGTTATTTTTGAATAAAAACTTCCTCAAGATTCAAAGTTTAGTAATTTAAAAAATCCATCATAAAAAGTCTTCTTTTCCATAACCATGAAACCATAAATTTCACCTCTCACGGGCAGCTAATGTTATGTGTTTCTTAGGTACCACATCCTGAGATTTTTTTTAACATACAAATGTGTGTATACACAAATATACTGCATAAACAAATATACTGTACATCAACATATATGTACATGTGTATACAAACATACAGATGTACAATAGATACTTTTAAAACAATTGCTAATATACTATGTATGTATTTTTGCAACTTGCTTTTTTTTAAACTTAGTAACGTGAGTTGAAGGTATTTTTTTTTAATGGAATCAAGCTGTGTAGCACAGGCTAGAGTGCAGTGGCACGATCTTGGCTCACTGCAAGCTCCGCCTCCTGGGTTCAAGCAATTCTCCTGTCTCAGCCTCCCGAGTAGCTGGGACTACAAGCGTGCACCACCACGCCCGGCTAATTTTTTGTATTGTTAGTAGAGACAAGTTTTCACCTTGTTAGCCAGGATGGTCTCGATCTCCTGACCTCGTGATCTGCCCGCCTCAGCCTCCCAAAGTGCTGGGATTATCGGTGTGAGCAACTGCACCTGGCCCCGAAAGTAATTACGTATCAGTATATGAATCTTCCTATTCTTTCTATGATGGCAAACTATTCCACGGTGTGGATAATTCAGAAATTATTTTAGCCATATGCTTTTAAAGAACATGTAGGTTACTTCAAGCTGTGGGTGTACAAGCAGTCCTCTAATAATTTAAATAAATTACTACATGTGTAATTTCACACATGTGCAATTGTATGTCTCTTTGTATGTGTATAAAAATTATGCCATTGGTTTATCAAATCACACACATACACTCAAAGCCTTTGGACATTTAATTAGGCTTTATTGAATTGATTCAGCAATTTGGAGATAACTGACATTTCTTTCTGCACTGAGTACTGTTTATTCTGCTACTTCAGATGGCACTATATGGGATCCTAATCCATAGCTTCACTTTCTATGGGGAGATTTCTGCATTGGTAGGTGCTGCACTTCACTCAGCCTCTAGAGGCCTCCAAACTGCTCATTATTTTCTATTTTTAAAAATAAATTTCATTGTGTGTATTTAAAGTATACAACATGATATTGTAGGATACATAAATAGTAAAATGGTTACTATAGTGAAGCAAATTTATATATTCATTATCTCACATAGTAACCCTTTTTGTGGCAAAAGCAGCTAAAATATAGTAATTTGGCAGAAATCTCTAATACAGTACAATTTTATTGCCTTTAGTCCTCAGATGGTATATTGGATCTCTAAACTTGTTCATCCTACATGTCTGTTATTTGCTCATTATTTTCTGTTTACCTGTATGAAGTCAGCAAAGGTATCCATGGGGAAAGGCCAGGAATGGGCTTTTGTCCCTTTGGATATGGAGTGGTGTCGATCCATTAGGATCTTTATCCTTTTGAGCTTTAGGATTCTGATCTTCTTTTACTACCTGAAGTTCTCTAAAGGAAATTTAGAATATTTGCTGCCTTTCCTGACAAGTAAATGCTACAGGGGCAGAAATAGTTAGAACCTTCTTGAATTCCAATCACTTCCCATTGAAGTCCTGTAATGATTCTTTATCTTGTTATATTTTTAATCCGATTTTATGAGGTGCTTTTTGTATTTTATCTACCTTTTGGGTTGTCTCCAACAGGAAAGATGGTCACAATTACCTTGCCATTAATGGCAGCCCAAAATTGAAACACATAGTTTATATTTTTTAAAAATTGTTTTCACTTATACAATTGTATGCCCCCAAAATAACTTGATTCAATTTATATGCTTAAGAAATGACGATGCAAATTTCAAAATAGCCAGTTGAGAGATGGGGGCACCCAGCTGAATCTGGCTCTGGCTTGGATTGATTAAATTATTTTTATTTTTGTATTCAAGTATACTTTATACACATGGAGTGCACAAATCTCAAGTGCACAGCTCAATAAATTTTTACATATAGGGACACCCACAAATTCACCCCTCAGATGAAGATATTAAATATATCCAAATGTTCCATCTTACCTCTTTCTAGTCAATACCACTCTTCTCTTGCTGAGATTCTAACTTCTATTTCCAGAGATTAGTTTTGTCTGTTCTAAAACTTATATAAATGGAATCACACATATATGTGTGCAGTTGCTTATCATTATTGGTTTATGTTGTAAGTGGCAGAAATTTCTTCTTTTGTTTTTCCTTGTATTCTATGCTGTGAATGAACTTTTGGGTTACTTTCAGTTTTGGGCTACTATGACTAATACTGCCATGAATATTTTTGAACATTTTGTTTTGTATACATCAGTACTCATTTCTGTTATGTATTATAAGTAGGAGTGAAAGTGTTGGGTCATGAGCATAGGCGTATGCTCAATTTCAGTAGATACTAACAATTTCCCAGAGAGGTTAAACCAATTCACAGTCCTGGAGCCAGCCATATAGGAGAGCTCTAGTTGCTCTACAGTCTCTCCAGTCTTTGGTAATGTCAGTGCCAGTGCTGTTCATTAAAACATTTTGGTGGGGTGAAGTGGAATGTCATTAAAGTTTTACTTTGTATTTCCCTGATGGCTGGTGATGTTGAACATCTTTGCATATAATTATTGGTTACCTGGATATTTTTTTAAATGAGATGGTTTTTCAAATATTTTTCCCATTGAAAACACAAAGTTTATCTGTCTTATTGATTTATAGTACTTAATATATTTTGGATGCTACTTTCCAGATGTATTGCAAGTGCCTTCTCCTAGCTGTGACTTTTTTTTCACTTTTTACCTGTGGTCTTTTGAAGAACAACAGTTAAGTCCCAATTATCAGTCTTTTCTTTTATAGATAATATTTTTGATGTCTTGCTAGCTTGGATTTGGATGGAAGTATTATTCTTGTTCTAATTGTGGCCATCCCATTACACTTATGGTATATATAGGGCACAGAGAATGAAAAGGCTGATTTACTTCTCAATTCTTGAGTCCACACCAATAACTATAATGTAATTTCTCTCTCTTCTTTCCAGCTGTAGGCTTGGGTGTGCAGATTAATGTTCAGGTTCTCAACACAGAGGGGTTTGTGGTGGAGTGTACCTCAGAAGGGTGGTTCCCACAAGCCCAGATGGCGTGGACAGACAGCAGTGGGAATGTAATTCCACATTCATCAAAATCTTACTCTCAGGATGGAGCTGGATTATTACATTTGCAGATGACTATTCTTCTAAAAAATAGCACCCATGGTCCTGTAACTTGCTGCTTTTACAACCCAGTCACTGGTCAAGAGAAAAGGGCAGGTATTGTCATATCAGGTGAGTGCTTGTGGCTTGGTTTTATCAAGGAAGAATTGTCACATAAAATTTCATGTCCTTCTTCAATGTGGCCAACTAAAGAGAAAATTAAGTGGAATAATAAATGTGAGGCTGTTTTATAAACGATGAACTGCTGTAGACATGCACTATTGAAAATGTATTAAGTTGCTGGGACAAGGAAAATACCAGGTGCTAAGGGGTTATTTTAAACAATGGAAGATATTAGAATCATTAAAGGAAAAGCCTTGTTCTGTATAGCATGTTAAGGCTTCCAAAGTTTTTATGTCCTTTGAGTGCCAGATTCACCTTTTTTGGGCTTTGTGACCTTGGGTATCACTTAACCTTCAAGACCATTGATTTATCTCATTTGGAAATGATGAAGTATATGTTATTTTGAGCTTAAAATGAAATATTGCCAGTGTAATAGTTTCACAAAACAAAGCAATATGCAAAATTAATATTGATTTAAAAATTATGATGTCACAAGTGTATTTTATTACAGAAACTGGTTTGGTCCTAGTATTGCTTAACACAGAGACAGGGAATTATTTTAGTTTCATTTCTCAAGAGATGCTTTCCCAAAAAAGAAGAAGGAGGAGAATGTTCCCTGAGAGACATCATTAGTGTCTACCAGAGGATCTTTGGATGTGATTTCAGATCAATTTTACCTCTGTTGTTAGATTACTCTGAATAGAAGAAGGTAAGCATTTAACTGGATCCAGTTCACAGAGGCTTAACATCAAGGAAATATCCTGTCTCTTAACAGCCATGAGTGGACAATTAGAAAGCTGATAAAATAAATACTGTAAGTCCTTTTTTTTTTCTTCCTGTTCAGCAGAAACCCATCCATTTCAGGTGCTTAGGTCCCTTTGTGACCCAAAATAGACTCCTTTAATCAACTCACCATTTCAGTTTTCTGTGCCACTTCATGGGAGTATTACTTCTGGTTTCCCTTTTAATCCTACGTTTCCCTTCTGAGCCATTTAGGTTTCCTGGACTGACCAACAGTCAGCGTTGTTGAAGGTAAGGTGTGAATCTAGAACCTCAGATCTCATGCTCCTTTCCTGTTTATTTTTAAAATTTCAAATAGAAGCCTTTCAAAAATGAAGAAAGCAAATTGAGTCATGGTGATAGCCAAGTAGGGGGGATGCCTTGACAATGGATTTGTGCTATTTTTACATGTTATTTTTGTTGTTGTTGTTTCTAGAATCCATGTATGCCTCAGGTTCTAATAGTCTGGTGTTAATTTAGTAGGTTAGCCTGCTATGCTTCACATCATCTTAAATTGAAATACACTAAGATATTTATTTTGTGTTCTGTATCTGAAAATCCCAGTCTATGGAGGTATTGCCTGTATAATTCTGTGGTTTTTCTGTTCCCAATCTCTCCTTCATTATTTGGGAACCCATGTTTGTCTCTCTTTATATCTTATATACAAGGATCTTAAAACTCCATGCTCCAAATCCCTAGTAATTGGCAGAAAATGATGGGCAAATGTTGACTTTCAACTTTCCTGATTTTCTAAACTTTGAGAAATTTGAGGAATTACCTGCTTTATCAACACTCAGCAATTCCTTTCCTTCCTTCCTTCCTTCCTTCCTTCCTTCCTTCCTTCCTTCCTTCCTGTGGGTGGCAAGCTACCCAGGTGCCAAGGCAAGAGACTGAGGGCACAAGCTGCTCCAGTATATAAAGAAAATATATAGAATAAGAATAGTGATATTAGAAATAGATTATAGATATGATTATATGTGAATATTATTAATCATTAGTTTGTAGCATTACGTTTTATTCCAATATTATAATAATCTTTGTTCTACAATTATAACGTAGGAAAAACCAGGCCATACAGAGACAGGAGCTGAAGGGACATGGTGAGAAGTGATCAGAAGACAATAGTGTGAGCCCTCTGTTACACCCGAACAGGGCCACTAGAGGGCTCCTTAGTCTAGCGATAACACCAGTGCCTGGGAAGGCACCTGTTACTTAGCAGACCTTGGTCTAGCAGTAGTGCCAGTGCCTGGGAAGGCACCCATTACTTAGCAGACTGGGAAAGGGCGTCTCCCTTTCCCCGGGGGACTTAGGGAAGACTCTGCTCGACCACCTCTTGTGGAAGGCCTGACATCAGTCAAGCCTGTCCGTAGCCATCCAGAGACCTAAACGTCTCCCTGTGACGCTGTACTTCAGCGGTCACGTTCCTTGTGCACTTTCATGTTCCACCGTGTACACCAGGCTCCACCTTCTAGATAGCAGTAGCAGAATTAGTGAAAGTATTAAAGCCGTTGAGTTCTCTGAAAAATGCATAGAAGAAATAATGATGTAAGCTGTTCCCTTTGTCTCTTTGCCTGGGCTACCAAATAGGGAAGGGCCTCCTGTCTGATGGACACGTGACTCGCATGACGTTACCTATCATTGGAGGTGATTCACACTCCTTACCCTGCGTCCTTGCCTTGTATACAATAAATAACAGCGCAGCCAGGTATTTCGGGCCACTACCGGTCTCTGCGTCTTGGTGGTAGTGGTCCCCCGGGCCCAGCTGTCTTTTCTTCTATCTCTTTGTCTTGTGTCTTTATTTCTACGCTCTCTCATCTCCGCACATGAAGAGAAAAACCCAGTAGGGCTGGACCCTATCCCACCCTTCCTTCCTTCCTTCCTTCCTTCCTTCCTTCCTTCCTTCCTTCCTTCCTTCCTTCCTTCTACATTTTGATCAGGATATTAGATATTCTCTTCTGGGAGAATTTTTCTGTTAAATTGGTCTCACAGGAACTCCCTACAGGAAATTTAAACACTGAATGTCAGATGTCTTTCTTAGTTTTATTTCTGTGACTTTAGAGCTCTTACTTTTTCTTTAAACTTTCTAAAATTTCACCAGTGGCACTTCTGATCCAGTCCCACAACTATGGAGTTTTCCAAATTCAACATTTACTGTGACATCCAAGGCTCTGTTCTATAATTTCCCTTCTTTTGTGGATTGTCCACTAGAATGTAGGAACAGAAGTAGGAATTCATCCTTTCATCCAATACTGTTCTATTCTTGACACAATAACTCCCAAACTCTGTTCTTTCCCCTAGTTCAGCTTCACTGACTGACAACCCTCATCTGAGCTCAGAGTTTATAGCATGGAGTGTAATGGGGACCTTCAGTGTGGCTCCTGCTTCTTCAGCAGTAACCTTCCATGCACAATGTAATCTTATAATTCTGTTGCTGTACTTACCAAGTCTTTCTACTCTTTCTTTCAGATATCCTGTTCAAATCAGAATATATGTCATTGATGTCACATAAAATTTCATATCCTTGGATATATTTGAGCATTGTGGTTGCTCTTCTGTTTCTCAGAATAAAAGGTATTTAATTCAGGAAAGGTAATGAGTTCTGAAGCCATTCCTTCTTTACTTGATACCAAGTGTTTGGAGGAGGTTCACACAAAACAGTGTCAACCTCAAAGCATCTCACTGCTGTACTTGCCAAAGAAGGTCTTAATATCTTGAGTTATATCTCAGGATGAGCTAGTGTTCTTCATGTTTATGTGGTTCTCCAGAGCGAAAGCACTGCTGCTGCCATAGTAGCTGTCACCTCCAAAATCTCCTGATCCTTGTGGAGCCATCATTACTTATTTCTTCTCACTTGGGCCATTTTCTGGAATTTAAAGAATAATAGTTTTGAGGCTAGGCGCAGTGACTCACACCTGTAATCACTAGCACTTTGGGAGGCCAAGGCAGGTGGATCACCTGAGATCAGGAGTTCAAGACCAGCCTGGACAACATGGTGAAACCCCGTCTCTACTAAAATACAGAAATTAGCCAGGCATGATGGTGGGTGCCTATAATCCCAGCTACTCAGGAGGATGAGACGGGAGAATCACTCGAACCTGGGAGATGGCAGTTGCAGTGAGCCGAGATCATGCCACTGTACTCCAGCCTGGGCAGCTGAGCGAGACTCTGTCTCAACAACAACAACAACAACAAAAATAATAATAGTTTTGAATATATATATATATGTGTTTTTGTTTTTGTTTTTTTGAGACAGAATCTTGCTCTGTAGCCCAGGCTGGAATAGTTTTCTCTTCCACAGGCATCTGTGGATTTTCAGACTTATTCCTCAAATTCTCCAGAATATTTTACCTTGATTATAAGAAAAAGAAAAACACATGAACCAATAATCCAATTCTTGGTTCTCCTGAATCTTCTCTCAACTCCCCTTTGTTCTTCCTATGAAATTAACCTAAACATACACCCCTTGCATCACTAAGGGTGGGAAATGCAGCCTTAATTTCAGGGAGTTGAAAACAGAAGGCAGAGAAGGCATTGGATACATTTGAGAATGGCCCCTCACAGTACTGGATCTTAGGACTTTAGACCATGCAAGATGAGTAACAGAAATGACATGTTATGCCATCAAGTATTCTAGATTTCCTGAGAGAAAGAGACTGTGATACATTCTAGGCTGCTTTGTATAGAGGAGGAGATGGAATAGGAAACTTTGGGAAATAATTTCATCCATAGTGACATAAATATAATTGATAAGACAGGTGCCTTTTGAGAGTTATCATGAAAATGAAACTCTTCTATAGTTCAGAAAACATAAGCCTAAAAAAGAAAATAGAGTTCATCTTGGCTAGTCCTATATAATTCATAAAGACCTGTATAACTTTGAATGAGTATTTATCACGTGCAGGAAATGTGATAAACAATTTATAGTTAATGTCAATCAAACACCCTATGAGGTAGGTTCCATTTATTATCACCATTTTTTGGATGAAGAAATTAGTCATCAGAGTTTTCAGTTAAATTGTTCAAGCTCAAACATGTAGAGCCAGGGCTGAAACTTAGACGTTTCAAATGCGAACACTTTGCTCCAAATGTAGTGATGCTCTTCTCCACTAAGATGTGAGGTATCAACATCATCCTTGCATACTTTCAGTGATGGGGAGGTCACTAACTCACTCATTAGGCAATTTGACTTATCTGTTCAACAAATGTATGCTGAGCATCTCAGGGATTATGTACTGTTCTAGATATTAACAGTAAAGCAAAAGGAAAAAACAGCTTAAAGTCTTTGTCCTTGTAGAGGTTACTTCTAGTGTGATGTAAGGAAACTCTTCCTTTTAGGACTTTCCTGTTAATAGTTTCTGGTATTTGTGATTTTAAAAACTCACACACACAAAAACACAGAACCAAAACAAAAGAAAAACTCAAACAGAAAGCATCATGTTCTTTTCTGGATCTTCTTCACCCTAAGCCAAGTATTTATAGTTGTTGGTTCTTTGCATAATGTGTCTCAGAATTACACAAATCTTGTCATTTTCTTCTAGAAATGTTATAAATAAGCAAAAGAATCTTTTAAAAATCTAGTTGGAGGCTTATGCCTGTAATCCTAGCACTCCTGTAGTCTAAAAGGAGCAGATTGCTTGAGTTCAGGAGCTTGAGACCAACCTGGCCAACATAGTGAAACCCCGTCTCTAATAGAAATACAAAAAGTTATCTGGGTGTGGTGATGCATGCCTGTAGTTCCTAGCTAGTTGGGAGGCTGAGGCACGAGAATCGCTTGAACAGAGGAGGCGGAGGTTGCAGTGAACCAAGTTCGTGCCACTTTACTCCAGCCTGGGTGACAGAGTGAGACTCCGTCTCTAAATAAATAAATAAATATCTAGTTTGATATGGGAAAGCATGGTTTAATAAGGAGAATTGCCCAGACTTGAAATAATCTTTCTCACACCATAGTAAGCTCTCTAGAATATAAGTTTTCAAGCAAAGTTTGAGTGGCTAAATAGCAGGAATGCTATAAAGAAGATCCTTCAGTTATACCTTCAGGGCATTACAACTGTAAAATTACTGGGTTCCAAAACACTTTTGTACTCTTAGCTAACTCAGAGTTTCCCCAAACTACCATTTTGTTTGTCCTACAAACATCAGACTCATATATGTTATAGTGACCAGGTTCCCATTCTCTCTACATCTTATTTTCATGTTGTGATCAACAAACATACTGCACAGAGTGGGAAAGTAGGAAAATACTGTTCTCCAGTACCCTCATCTATCCTAAGCCCAAACAAGTCCTCCCCTCATTCCTGATTCCTGGCTCTACCTCATTCACAATCCTGCTTTTCATGCCTGAGCTGTGACTTAGGTTGAATAGACCTAAATAGACATTACATTGAGACCTTAAAATAATTTCCTTAATCTAGCATGTTTGTTGCTGTTCCAATGTATTCCAAAAGAGCTAGCTTCCTAATTCTCCTTCTCCTTGATCCTTTTTCAGTTGCACAGAATATAAGGTGTGTTCACCTTGTGTTTCAGTGTCTACCTTTCCTGATGTATATTGGCATTTTGCCTATCTATTTACAATTCAGGAAAAGAGGTAAGTGGTACTAGAAAAATAGAATTTTTCAGTTCATCTCTTCTTAGCCTGGTACCCTCTTTACTTGGATGTATTTAGATAAAGCTGGGCAACTTTCCTAGCAACAACAGAAGGAGTCAGGATTTGGGGACACCTTAGAAACTTTAGATGTTGTCCTCTGAAGTGTGCAAGATGCAGAGTCTTAGGCTTCTCTGATGACTGCCTGTATTTCCAGCATCACTCATGGTCACAATTGCTTGCATACCAGGGGAACAGATATTTTCCTTGAGGTCTGGCAACCATTTCATCCAAGATTATGGGGTCCAGATGCTCATTTACAAAACACAATTATTTATGTCACCAAATGTTGGCTCCAAGACAGTGATTAATAACCATTTTTGCATCAGAGATCCCATTTGAAAAATTAATGAGTTCAAAAGGCCAATATTACATGTTTTATTTCCTATTCAGTTTCAAGACTATTGAAAGCCATTATTTGATCATCTTGTGATATGGTTTGGCTCTGTGTCCCAACTCAAATATCACCTTGAATTGTGATAATCTTCACATGTGAAGGTGACACCAGGTAGAGATAATTGAATCATGGGGGAGTTTCCCCCATGCTGTTCTCATGATGGTGAGTGAGTTCTCATGAGATCTGATAGTTTTATAAGGGGCTTCCCCCTTCGCTTGGCATTCATTCTCTTTCCTGATACCTTGGGAAGAGGTGCCTTTCACCATAATTGTAAGTTTCCTGAGGCTTCCTCAGCCTTAATTGGAACTGTGCATCAATTAAACCTCCTTTCTTTATACATTACTCAGTCTCAGGTATTTCTTCATAGTAGTTTGAGAACGAACTAATACATCTTGCCTATATATTTAGATGTTACTAGAAGTGCAACTATATGTATATACTTTGTTATGATAGCATCTGAGAATTTAGCAATACTTTTTATTTGTTTGCAGTTACTGGGAGTTATTTACGTAAAACAATGGCGATCAAAGTAAACACTAAACAAAAGAATCACTTTATTATTTGCAAGAGCTTTGCATTCACTTCTAAGACATAACTGGTCCAGATGCTACATAGATAGTCTTTTCAAACCTTTTATATATTTTGAATTTTCCCCAGCATAACCCATTCCATCTATTTGCACCTCAAAGTATAAACCCAAGCCTCAAATCTTAACAAACAAATGAGCCCAAAGGACAAGCCCACCAGGATCAACAAAAGCTGGCAAGAATGTTTAAGAATGTATAAAATAGAATTCTATTTCAATCAGTATGTAATTTCCTAAACTACTATTTCTGACTACAGTATATATACTGCAATATCTGTCTGTCTGTCTGTCTATATCCACCAAATATTATTTTCAAGTTATTTTTAAGCAATTGAGAAAACTAAGAAAATATTTTGTGTACTGGAAGAAATCAAAAGATGCAATCAAAACCTTATTTTGACTTTTTTCTTTCTCCCTCCCTGCCTCCCCCTCCTCTTCCTCTTTCTCCTCCTGTCTTCTTCCTCCTTCTTCCTCCCTCCTCCTCCTCCTCTTCTTCTTCTTTTCTTCCTCTCCTCCTCCTCCTCTTCCTCCTCCTCCTCTTCCTCCTCCTCCTCTTCCTCCTCCTCCTCCTCCTCCTCCTTCTTTTTCTTCTTCTTCTAGAGTTGATGTTTTATCGGGGGTTTCTGCTTTTGCTTCTACTTCATTTTCTCTTGATGCCCCCACGTAAGAAGTGCCTTTCACATTCCGCCATGATTCTGAGGCCTCCCCAGCCATGTGGAACTGTTAGTCCCGTTAAACTTCTTTTTCTTGCCAGCTCAGATATATCTTTATCAGCAGTGTGAAAACAGACTAATACACTAAGCCTGGACTCAAAGCACCATGAATCCCAGAAGGTGTCATCAATGCAAACAGCAAAAGCTCCAGGAAAAATCTTCTAGTTAAGATTTCAGAAATGAGAAAGGAATCTCTGGTTTGTGGTGGTAGTGGTAGCATGAAACTAGAAGTGTTTGTGACTCCTAGAAATAGACTTTCCACTTTTCTCAGAGAATCTATGGCAAAAAGAGGGTGGAGAAACCCTGACTTTGTCTCTGCATGTCTTAGTGCTGCTCAGTCATGGACACAGGTAGAGTCGCAGGAAGTGTACAGCATAGTGGAGGTATATAAAAACCCAAGATTTCTGGCCTGAAATACCAAATAGACAAGCCCTAGGGAACTAGAAATTACCAGACAGAGAGCAGAGAGGAAAGAACCTTGGGAAATTGATTCCATAAAGTTGCTTATGAACTCCAGGGTTCATCCCAGAGCTTTAAATGTATACATCTGATCAAAAAAATCCCAGCACACAGAAGATATTGAGGACTAAGCTAAGGGAAATATCATTGCCTATAGCACACACACAAGAAAAATATGAAAAATACTTTAAAAAATAATTTAGCAATAATTTTTAATTAATTGCTTTCAAAGAGGAATTGAAAAATATATGAAAGGTCAGTGTTCACAGTACTTATAACCCAAACCCAACTGGGTCAGGTATCCACGAAAACAAAAATATTAACATTCCCCATAAGATTTAACAAGAATCTGAGATTTATAACATCATATTCAAAATATCCAGAAGACAATCCAAAATTACTCAGCATGTGAAGAATCAGGAAAATCTCAGCATGCATGGGTAAGAACAATAGGGAGCAACACTGAGATTACATAGATGTTAAAATTATCAAAGAATTTAAAACTGCTACTATAAAAATATCCAAGAAGTAATGGCAAACACTCTGAAACAAATGGGAAATGAAGCTTCAGCAAAAAAAATAGAAAATATACAGAGGAACCACCTAGAAGTCCTAGAGCTAAAAGCTACAATAGTATTTTTTTTTAAATTATCACAGTATAGGCTCAATAGCAGAATTGAGATGACAGAGAAAATATTCAATGTACTTCAATGTACTATAGATGCATAGAACTTATTCAACGTGAAGACCAATGAGAAAAAAGAATTAAAAAAAAGCAGAGTTTCAGGGACCTGTAGGGCAATAGCAAAAGAGTGAAACTTGTGTCCTGGGAGTTCCAGTACAAAACATAAAGAGTGAAGCACAGCAAAGATATTTGAAGAAATCGAAAACTTCACAAATTTTGCAGAAGACATAACCTACACATTCAAAAAGTACAATGAACCCCCAAATAGAAATCTAGGGAAATCCATGGCCATACCATAACAATCAAATGATTCCAAAGGTAAAGCCATAGAAAAATTATTAAAAACATCCAGAGAAAATGAACACATTACTTATGAGGGAAAACATTAATACAAACAACTGTGGAATTCTAATCCAAATCCATCCATGGTGTCAGAAGGAAGTGACTTTTTTCTACGCTGAAAGTAAAGAACTGCCAAACCATAATTTTATGTCCAGTGAAAATATACTTAAATAATGAAAGTTAGTAAAAACATTGTAAGGAGAAAGCAAATCTTGGATAAATCTTTACCAGCAGAACTGCTTCAAAGCACTGCAGTTCTTCAGAAGGAGATAACAGCAGAAGGAAATGTGGTCATTAGGAGTTAAGGAAGACAAATCGTCTAACTATTGAAGTAAATCTATTATAATATTCCTTTTCTCTTGAGTTCTTTAATATGTTCGATGATGAAAAGCAAAAAAAAAAAAAAATTGAGTGGATTTTTAATTTATGTATATATAGTTGTAATATATAAAACAACTACAACATAAGTAGAAATGATAAAGAGGTCTATTGTAGTGATAAAATGGTGTTTCTCAGTAGATTGTGAAAAGTTAAGCATGTATAATTTAATTCCTAGTGTAATCAAAATGATACAAATTGATAGAGTCAAAATCAAAAAAGATAAATAAATTAAAATGTGATTTTTAAAAAGTTCCTCTAAAATGCAGGAAAGAGTAAACAGGTATGACAAACAGGAAAAATAGAGAAATTAAGTAATAAAATGGTAATAATTACTTAAATATAAATTCTCTAGTTTTGTCAATTATTCCTTTACAGTTTGAAGTCATGATATTAAGTTGATATACCATTGAAGTGGATAAGCTTTACTGGCAAAAGAAAACATTAATTATTACGTGTATCTAGTAATGCTTTCTTGTCTTACCATCTATTTTCCCAATAGTAGTATGGCTACTTTTTGTTTTCTTGCACCTCACTATCAACAGTTTCCTTTATCTTCAAAATATATTCAAATTTTACCAATTTTCACCAAGTTAATGGCTACGATCTTTTGATTTATATTTGTATTGTACATATTTTTCTTTTTATTTAGCTTAAAATATTTTATATTTAAATTTTTCTGCATATTTATGATTTTGTGCATCTCTTGGAAAAGGATATAATTAGATTTTAATTTTTAATCTTTTCTATTTTATGATTATTGCCACTTAAATGGATCATTTATACTTTTAGCTTTTTGATGTTTCAAATTTCTAACATCATTTTGTGCTTATCTGACCTTCCTGTTTTATATACATATTTCTAGTTTTCTTCATTTTCAATGTATTGTGTTTTAAACATTTCATTTTCTGTTTGTAATTTTAATTATTCCATCTGTTTTTACTTATAATGACATATAATTTATACAGTGTCTTTTTTCTCACTATTTAAGTGGCTCATTTAGAAATTTCAACGTGTATACTTACTATCAAGTCTAAATGTAATTAATACCTGAATTAGTCTGTTCTCACACTGCTATAAAGATACTACTAGAGTCTGAGTAATTTATAAGCAAAGGAGGTTCAATCGACTGGTAGTTCTGCATGGCTGGGGAGACCTCAGGAAACTTCCAATCATGGCAGAAGGGGAAGCAGGCATGTCTTAAATGACAGCAGGTGAGAGAGCGCACGTGAGCGAGCAGGAAAAACTACCATTTCTAAAACTCGTGAGAATTCACTCACTATCATGAGAACAGCATGGGGAAAAGCATCCCCATAATCCAATCACTTCCCTCTTTTCTACACATGGGGATTATGATTCAAGATAAGATTTGGGTGAGAACAAAAAGCCTAACCATATCAATATCTTAAACACTCTCAGAAAATAAAAAGATCTTGGAATAGTTGGAATAGTTTAGTAACACGTAGTTCCATCAGGACATATACTATGATCGCTGAAGATTTTAATTCTATGTTATTTAAACCTCATAGAACATTATTTTAATTATTGTTTTATATAGCATTGCTTATTTATACTTATCTATAGTTCACAACTTTTTTGACTTTTATTTTTTCTTGCATGTCAGACTTAACAAATACTATCACACTATCTGATAGTGTTTGTCTCACATTTATTTCAATGGCTACAGAATTTTACTTTGAAGATTTTTTCCAGTGTATTGAACATATTATTTCACTATTGTGACTTCCACTGTTTCTATTCTATTGAGAAGTCTGCTTTTAGTCTAATTGGTGCTTCTGAATGTGAACTTTCTTTTTCTCTGGCTGCTCAAAAGAGTTTTTATTGTGTGTGTGTGTGTGTGTGTGTGTGTGTGTGTGTGTGCGCGCGCATGCACATGCACATGTACATGCCTTTGTGGAATTCTTTTTATTTTTTAATAATAAGGATTAATTGGGCTCCCTGATTTTCTACGTGGTGTTTTTTGTGAGGTCTCAAAAAATCTCAGCCACCAATGTTTTAAATACAGCCATGTGTTGCTTAACAATGGGATACATTCTGAGAAATATTTATGTAGGCAATTGCATCATTATGTGAATACCATGTAGCATGTTTACACAAACCTAAATGGTATTGCATACTACACACCTAAGCTATAAGGTATAGCCTATTATCCTAGGCTAAAAACCAGACCAGCATGCTACTGTACTGAATGCTATAGACAATTGGAACACAATGGTAAGTATTTATGTATCTAAACATATGTAAACATAGAAAAGGGACAGTGAACATATGGTATAAAGGATAAAATATGGTACATTTGTACCGGGCACTTATTATGAATAGAACTTGCAGGACTGGAAGTTGCTTTGGGTGAGTAACTGAATGAGTAGTGAGTGAATGAGAAGGCTTAGGACATTTCTGTACACTCTTGCAGGCTTTATAAACACTGTACACTTAGCCTACACTAGATTTACTTTATTTGGTAATAAATTAACCTTAGCTTATTGTGACTTATTTACTTGTAAACTTAAAAATTTCTTAACTTTTTGACTGTTTTGTAATAACAGCTTAAAACACAAATATATTGTACAGTTGTACAAAAATGTTTTCTTTCTTTATGTCATTATTCTATAAGTTTTTTCTAATAAAACAATTAAAAACATTTTTTTGTTAAAAACTAAGATACAAATACATACCTTAACCTAGGCCTACACAGGGTCAGGATCATCACTATCACCATTTTCTACTTCCGTATTTTGTCCCCCTGGAAGATCTTCAAGGGCAATAGCACATATGGACCTGTCACCTCCTATGATAAGGATGTTTTCTCTTCTGTGATAACTCCTGAAGGACCTGCTGGAGGCTCTTTTTAAAGGAGGTGTCTCTGCAGAAGCATCCATTGTGGTTTGCTTGATTTTTTTCTTTTTTTCATCGTAGATTTGCTTGTAAGCAGATAATGTACCACAGACATTCTTGTTCATTAATGCAATTCTTTCAGTATTGGGGTTTATATTTTCAAATATTTTAAGGAGCTTGTTGATGTCTGCAAAAGCTTCTGCTAAACCATTCACTCTGGATTTCCTGAGAAGTTCTTCTTTTTCTTCTCCTGCAGTTTCCTTGTCTCTTGCCTGTTCCTCAGCTATGCATTCTTGTTACAGTTCCAACAGCTCATTGATTAATTCCTCAGGATGACATCACTAGATGAAAGAAAATTTTCAGCTCCATTATAATCTTATGAGACCACTGTGATATATATGGTTCACTGTTAACCAAAACGTCATTATGTGGCACATAACTGTATTTCCTTTTCTCCTTTATTTAATTTGTCTTCTTTTTAACTTTAGATTCTGTCAATCAGAACTTTCTACTCCATTCTCTATGTCTCTTAACTTCTCTTCTTTATTTTTGACTTTTTCTCTCCATGTTTATGCCTTCCAGTTTATTATCAAGTTTAGTAATCAATTCCTAAATATGAGTGATTTTTGTGGTACCCGCTCTGAATTCTTAAGTTCAGACATTATGTTTCAATATCATCAATTTTATTTACTACTTTTTCAAAGTACCTCTTCTAAAGTTACCTTTAAGAATTTTTGTTCTGCAGATATTTCTTAGCTTGTCTCATCCAATTTTTAAATATAATATGTACAGGTGGTATTTTTTAGACCCTGTTTCGTCTTTGAAATATCTAAAATTGTTTTGTAACTGTTTTCTGATTTCCTCTGGATGTTGTCTTTGTAGCTCTAAATCACTTAACAGATGTTTAATAAGAGATTACTATATACCAAACACATTTCTAAATACTGGGGATTCAACAGTGAACATCACAATGTTCTGCATTAATGAAATCAAAAGTATCATCTGTAACTTTATTATTGGTCCTTCTAGAGTTTGAGCCCTATGACAACCTTTTAAAGATTTGAGTTTAGTAATCATGGCACCTTCTTTATCATCTTTTGTCCATTTGTTACTTAAATTGATTGACTTTGACCTCCTCCAATATTATGATGATCCTGTGTACTTTGTGTATTAAAATTTCCTCTTCTGACACTGAGCTGCAATTAAAAATAATTTGTTTTATCCAATTGCTCAGAGTCCTTATGACATTTTCAGATACTTTGCCTCTATATTTCTTCAACAAAAGTGTAAAAATAAATGACAGCGTATTTTCAGTTTCCTGTGTATTAATGAGTAGAGATGACTTCTCACAGATTGTATTCATGGTTCAACCCAAATTGCACACACAGGCTCGACCAACCTACATATTCTATGACATCATAAAACCTCGGATAGGCCCAGAAAAAAACAAGTAAATGAACCTACTCAACCTCCTCTTTCCTTTATTAAGTGGGCTTCTATATGTCTGGATTCTTAATTTGTGAATATTTTCAAGTCTTTATTTCTTTATAATGAATTGTTTGCATTTTTTCTTTCTCTTTTTTCAGTCTCTGTTTCAGATGACCTGTTCTTATTGTATAGTATTTGGACAGAAGATTTATGCATAATCTTGGGTATTCTAATGTTATTCTTCACCCTACTCATTTTTGTTCTACTTTATACTCTGAAAGGTAAGTGAAGCAGCAAGGGTGAGAGCTCCAAGGAAGTATATCCTGTACTTTTATCTGAATCTCTTGAAGGATTAGCTTTCACTCTGAAATATCTGTTAAAGGCTCAAATAACTCTGAAAAACTGGTGGCTTGGGTTATTCACGTTTTCCTTTATTTCAGCAAACTGACAGGAGAATTTTATGACTTACCTATGCCTTGCTAATTGCTCATTTCACTATACTGCAAATCTCCCTTTACTTATAAAGAACATGTGTGAGAATCGGCTTTCACCAACTACTTTTAAGAATCAGTGGCACCAGATGACATGATTGTGTATTTAGAAAACCCCATCATCTCAGCCCAAAATCTCCTTAAGCTGATAAGAAACTTCAGCAAAGTCTCAGGATACAAAATTAATGTGCGAAAATCACAAGCATTCTTATACACCAGTAACAGACAAACAGAGAGCCAAATCATGAATGAACTTCCATTCACAATTGCTTCAAAGAGAATAAAATACTTAGGAATCCAACTTACAAGGGATGTAAAGGACCTCTTCAAGGAGAACTACAAACCACTGCTCAGTGAAATAAGAGGACACAAATAAATGGAAGAACATATCATGCTCATGGATAGGAAGAATCAATATCATGAAAATGGCCATACTGCCCAAGGTAATTGATAGATTCAACGCCATCCCCATCAAGCTACCAATGAGTTTCTTCACAGAATTGGAAAAAACTGCCTTAAAGTTCATGTGGAACCAAAAAAGAGCTCGCATTGCCAAGACAATCCTAAGCACCAAGAACAAAGCTGGAGGCATCACGCTACCTGACTTCAAACTATACTACAAGGCTACAGTAACCAAAACAGCATGGTACTGGTACCAAAACAGAGATATAGACCAAGAGAACAGAACAGAGCCCTCAGAAATAATACCACACATCTACAGCTATCTGATCTTTGACAAACCTGACAAAAACAAGAAATGGGGAAAAGATTCCCTATTTAATAAATGGTGCTGGGAAAATTGGCTAGCCATAAGTAGAAAGCTGAAACTGGATCCTTTGCTTACTCCTTATACAAAAATAAATTCAAGATGTATTAAAGACTTAAATGTTAGACCTAAAACCATAAAAACCCTAGAAGAAAACCTAGGTAATACCATTCAGGACATTGGCATGGCAAGGACTTCATGTCTAAAACACCAAGAGCAATGGCAACAAAAGCGAAAATTGACAAATGGGATCTAATTAAACTAAACAGCTTCTGCACAGCAAAAGAAACTACCATCAGAGTGAACAGGCAACCTACAGAATGGGTGAAAATTTTTGCAATCTACTCATCTGACAAAGGGCTAATATCCAGAACCTACAAAGAACTCAAACAAATTTATGAGAAAAAAAAACCCCATCAAAAAGTGGGCAAAAGATATTAACAGACATTTCTCAAAAGAAGACATGCATACAGCCAATAGATACATGAAAAAATGCTCGTCATCACTGGCCATCAGAGAAATGCAAATCAAAACCACAATGAGATACCATCTCACACCAGTTAGAATGGCAATCATTAAAAAGTCAGGAAACAGCAGGTGCTGCAGAGGATGTGGAGAAATAGAAACATTTTTACACGTTGATGGGATGGTAAACTGGTTCAACCATTGTGGAAAAGAGTATGGCGATTCCTCAAGGATCTAGAACTAGAAATACCATATGACCCAGCCATCCCATTACTGGGTATATACCCAAAGGATTATAAATCATGCTGCTATAAAAACACATGCACACGTATGTTTATTGTGGCACTATTCACAATAGCAAAGACTTGGAATCAACCCAAATGTCCATCAGTGACAGACTGGATTAAGAAAATGTGGCACATATACACCGTGGAATACTATGCAGCCATAAAATGGATGAGTTTGTGTCCTTTGTAGGGACATGGATGCAGCTGGAAACCATCATTCTCAGCAAACTGTCACAAGAACAGAAAACCAAACACCGCATGTTCTCACTCATAGGTGGGAATTGAACAATGAGATCACTTGGACTCTGGTAGGGGAACATCACACACCGGGGCCTATTATGGGAAGGGGAGGGGGGAAGGGATGGCATTGGGAGTTATACCTGATGTGAATGACGAGTTGATGGGTGCTGACGAGTTGATGGGTGCAGCACGCCAACATGGCACAAGTATACATATGTAACAAACCTGCATGCTGTGTACATGTACCCTAGAACTTAAAGTATAATAATAATAATAATAAAATCAGTGGCACCAGAAAAAGACCCCAGTTCAGTCACACCTTGCTGTTAATCAATTGATTGTTGAACGTTTACTGTAGATCCACAGAAAAGGTTCTCCTTGACATCTCCACTGAACTCCTCCTTCAACTAAAGCTGTGACATCGTAAAGAAGGTACATGTGCAGGAAGGGGCAGCCCACCATTCAAACTGTGAGCAATTCCCATGTAAGAGCTACATGTCAGCCAACTACAAGAAAAAGTTGAGGGAACAGCAAGTCGGTGCTCACACCGACGCAGGTTTATTTCATACCCTTCTTGTCATGGCTCCAAAACCTGAATTAGTTATGCAGTCATTTTACTTTGTACTTTCTGGGACTAATAAATAAATGTAATCTCTTTAGGGATCCGGGGGCTATACAATGAGAAAAAATGGAGAGCACATCTAAACTTCTTGCTACTTGCATTACAATTAAAGAAATTATTTTCTTAATCCAATTGTGTTCTGTCTGGAAAATGTAGATTTTGATCTTGATTTTTGTTGTGTTGCAGATGCCAGTGAGTATAGTTGTGGCCTCTGTGTGCACTCCTTCTCCATCTTAATTAAATAGATTTAAAATCAATATGCCATCGATAACACTGATTGCTTCCTTAACAGATTTTGTACAACTATGAACATCAGGGTTCTCATCTGAAACAGAGGAGGCTTGAAGACAGTAGAACTAGTGATGTAAAACATTGAAGAAAAAGCATTTGGACCAAAAGTCTGTAGTTTTGAGTGAAGTCAAATAATTACCAATGTATAGGAAGAAAATAGAAATTTAAAGATTCTCAATATATCTTCATTGCAAGTTTACATGAGAATTACCTAATTCAAATGTAATTGCATCAAAATTAGGATCTCAATCTAAAGAAATATCTAATATGTAGAAAAGTAATAGCAAATAAACAAATGTGTCATAAAATCTAAATATTTCCCTGAAATAAAGTAAATATATGAAAATCAGAAATGTAAATGACTAAAACCTCTGGTTTTTAAATTGAGACTAAAATGGGATAAAATAACAAAATAAAAGATGTTTGGTTTTCAGGACATATGCTTAAAACTTAATGAGAGAGCAAGGTGGTTGAATAGAAGCCTTCAGCAATTGTATCCCCTGCAGGAACACCAAATTGAAGAACTATCTACTCAGAAAAGTACTTTCATTAGAACCAAAAATCAAGTGAGTGATCAGAGTAACTGGTTTTAACATCATATTCAGGAAAGAGGCACTGAAGAGTGTAGAAAAGACAGTCTTGAACTGCCTACACATCCTTCCCCCATTGCCTAGCAATGGTCATGTGGCATTGAGAGAGAATCTGTGTGCTTAAAGGAGGGAGAGCACAGTGACTGTGCTATTTTGTATTGGAACTCAGTGCTTTCCTGACAGAGTGGAAAGCAACACAGGGCAGAATTCAGCTGGTGCCCAGAACCAATGGAGGGAACATTTAGACCAGTCCCAGCCAGAGGCAAATTATCCATCTCAGTAGCTGGAACCTGAGTTCTGGCAAGTCCTAATACCATGGGCTTAAGAGCCCTTGAAAAGCTATCTCAGTTACAAGGGCTGCAGTTCCTGGAAAAGTCCTCGTGCTGTGCAGGGCTTGGAGCCAGTGGACTTGGGGTATAAGTGACTTAGTGAGACACCAGCCAGATGGCCAAGGGAGTGCATGAGTGCATGTGTGACCTCTCCAAAGACAAGCAGTGAAGCTCATAATTCCAGGAGACACTCTTTCCTTCTACTTAAGGAGAGGAGGTGGGGGAGTAAAGAGAACTTTGTGTTACAACTTAGATATCAGCTTAGTCACAGTAGAACAGGGCATCGGGCAGGGTTCTGAGGTCCCCCTTTCATCCTGTATCCCTTGAATGACCTTTATAAACACGCTGGGCTGGAAGGGCACTTCCTGCCTTAAAGGGAAGAACCCCATCCTAGCAGATTCACCACCTGCTAACTAAAGAGCTTTTGGTCCCTGAGTAATTTGTAGTGGCAGCCAGATAGTACTTGTCACAGGCCTTGGTAAAGACTTAGAGCCATACTGGCTTCAGGTGTGACCCAGAACATTCCCAACTGTGGTGGCTACAGGGAGAGACCCCTTCTGTTTGAGAAAAGGAAAGAGTTGAGGGGACTTTGTCTTGCAGCTTGGGTACTAGCTGGGCTTTGGAGGTCTCCAATTCCAGGACTTGGCTTTTGGATGGCATTTCTGTACCTGCCCTGGGCCAAAGGGGAGCCCACTCCCCTTAAGGGAGACACTCAAGACTTGTAGCAATCGACACAAGCTGACTGAAAAGCCCTTGGGTCTTGAGTGAGCACTGACAGTAGCCAGACAGTACTTGCCACAGACCTGGGGTGGTGGTCGCCATGGGGAGAGACTCCTCTGCTTGAGAAAATGTGAGGGAAAATGGGAAGGATTTTGTCTTGTGGCATAAGTGCCAGCTCAGCTGCAACAGCATAGAGCATCAGGTCGATTCCTAAGGTTTCTGACTCCAGGCCCCGGCTCCCAGATAGCATCTCTGGACCCACGTGGGACTAAGGGAAATTTGCTGCCCCGAAGGGAAGAATGCAAGCATGGATGAATTTGCCAATTGCTGATTATAGAGTCCTTGGACCTTTGGTGAACATAGCCAGTAGTCAGCCAGTGGTCACTGCAGGGTGACACTTGGGTGACAGCCAGTACTGTGCTGGCTTCAGGCCTGATGCAGCATAGCCCCAGTAGTGGTAGCCACAGCGGTGCTTGTGTC